CCCTATGCAAGCCTCGTGGGTACTCTCCCCGCCTTCCGCCTTTAGGTGCTATAGTGATGGGCTTAGAGCAAAGGTTTCGTTGAGCCACGCCAGGTATCCAAGTAAGTAGTGCCACCTACACTTGGACTGGGAGCATCGACCATTCGATCTCCTGGGGGAACTAGAGCCAGCTTTTGAACACTTCACCAAGCTACCCTATTTGTCAGTCCGTATTCACTCTAGCTTTGGACTTCTTAGTGGTTATCACATCACCCAACACCTAAGTACAGTCTTCTTGGGCCAAACCAACCTTTCCTAGCCAAACTGGCTCCACTGGGGTTCAACCCCCACACTCTCCCTACTATACTTTTGTACTTTTGGAACCCTTGCAGCCCCCCCCCCCCCGAGGGGACGATCGCTTTGGGCTTTCACCCAACAGCTTGTATTAGTATTCGGACTCGGACTCGACCTCGGTCTCGGTCTCAGTCTTGGTCTCAGTCTCGGTCTCGATCTTTGTTCCATCTCGGACTCCATCTCGGGTCCCTCTCGGGTCCATCTCAGCCTCCATCTCGGGTCCACCTCGGACTCCATCTCGGACTCCATCTCGGGTCCATCTCGGACTCCATCTTGGGTCCATCTCGGGTCCATCTCAGACTCCATCTTGGACTCCATCTCAGGTCCATCTTGGACTCTATCTCGGGTCCATCTTGGTCTATCTCGGATCCCATCTTAGACTCTTCCACGTGTCATATATTGGATCTTTTGTGTCCCTTTTTTAGAGACTCACTTATTGCTTGCTTTGTGCTCGTTCCTCAAGCCCTTCGTTGGGAGTTCCACTCTTGCTCTCAACTTTTCGAGTTAGAGCTTTTAGTCCAAATGTGTTACGCTCATTTGGCTTTTGCTTCCGCCATTACCACGTGGCACCCTTTCGGCTCCCTTTTGAGGCCTAGGGATTTTGTGTCTCACATGAAAGTGTCTTGGCAGACACAATAAACTGTCATTTAGTGAATATTGAGGGACCAACATGAGATAATAGGGGGAAAAGTGCAATGGAACCACTTGGTCCAAGTGCTCCACGTATCTAATCCCACTATAAACACCCAAATACACCACCGACATACTAGCCTGTTATGGTAAGGCTAGGTCCATTCACACTTGTCTCATGAATAATCTAAGACCACCCATACCACAATTATATCTCCTAAAGATTATGTCATTGTAGCACACTTTATTTCTCTCTTCTTAAGCCAAATGAAAAAGGGGCAATTGCTTGATAAAAGAGCTTTTAGTGATTATTTTATTCCTATTTATGACCACCCGTTAACATCCTTATAATGCCCTTAGAAGTGGAGAACACCATTCCCTAATATCACTTGTTCAATCCCTACTAAGTCTCTCTCTGTCTATAGCAATGCTCATTGGTTTAGGGCTCAAAGGCCCATCCACTAAATCCTATTAACTTCTAGGACTTCTTTACCACGTGGTCACTAAGCAAGAGGACCATTCCTCTTCCTTTCCATAGTCTAGGACTTTGAAATGACATTTTGAAACACTCTAACATGAGTCTTATGGGTACTCTTTCAACCTTCCACCACTAGAGTGCCCTAGCCATATGGCTAGAGTAAGGTTTTGATGAAATATGCAAGATATCCAAGTAAATAATGCCACCCACACTTGGATTTTCACTCTAACCTTGAACTTCTTAGTAATTATCTCATCACACACCATGTGTGTGTAGCCTTCCCTGGTTACACTAGCATTTCTTGGCCAAATTGAGAACCTAACCTAGCTAACTTGATTAAGTTTCATTTTGGATTGTATTTTATGCAATTTCTATCTAGTGAAAATGCATAGTTTGCTCCAAGCAACTTCCCTAGATTTCCCTTTTAATCTTTGAGAAAGTCTCCACCTATTTCAAGGCAACACAATATGCAATCACCACTTAAAAAAGCATCACATCCAAAGTTAAATACTTAGTTTGAGAGAATAAAAAGTATTAGTAGAGAGGCATTATATTGTGATAAAAGTTGTCCTTTTGGAGGAATATAGATAGCTTTAGTGATCTATAATAAAACTTAATTATTTTAAAACAAAAGAAAAACTAGACAAGTTTGTTTATTGTGTTATCTCCATGCAAGTGTGCAATCTTAGAAGACTATTGACACCACTCATAAGTTGGAAAAGTAAGTGTTCTCAAAGTTGATGCAAAAGTTGGCATTCACTAGTGCTTAAGATGTTAAGATGTCACAACTAAGCTAGAATTACTCCTTTCTTGCTAAAACAAGTCCAAGAGGCCTCAAAAGAATCCTAGAGAAGGCTTGGGATGCCACTAAAACAACTTAGTTCTCCATGCAATGTGGGCACAAGATGGTGGGAAGGCTTAAGGTGAAAGTGTGTGCTTACGAGAAAAAATGGACCTTAGCTATGTGTTATAAGGTGGAGTGTTATTATATGTTGTGAAGGAGTGCTTCTGATGTGCTAAACTCAACTTGAATCGCTTTTGGGAGTTGAGTGAAGTGTTGGTGATTGCAAAAGATGTTGCACAACTAAATAACCATGCATTCAAGTATTTTCCTGACAGTCAAGATTATAACCTTAACACTCAAGCTTACAATTTTGACAATTAGGATTCAGGAAGAAGTGGCAGTTGCCAGTATGTAGGAGTAATTAAGGGGGAGAGTTAGCACTTGATCCCTATCCCCTATCTCTATTGTACTCTAGCCTATCACCAATGCACATCCACATGCTCAAAACTTAGAGTATTTTAGTGATGTCAAGTCTATCCTTACTCATAATCTCTCGCATGAGCCTTCTTGAGGATTAAAGGTTTCATATTAGTTTCTAATTGATTCATGTGTTTAGTAGCATATTCCAAGGCAAAAAATAGGATGCCATCAGTATGCTCCACAAGCTCAAAAGCCTCTACCCGAAAACTCATACTATCGATAGGCTTGTATAGAATCTTTTAGTTAGGAAGAACTGGATCTAACACCTCTAGTTGTGTGAGAGATGTTGTAGAGTGTCCTCTTGTGTCCCTACAATAGGATCTATCTCAAGAAATCTACTCACCAAAGGCACTATGAAAATTGTGTTCTCCTCCAAGTCAGGCATTTGTGGAATCTCAAGAATCTTGCCTGGATCTTTTGCCTCCTTGAGCCCGAGTGAGCACGGTAATGTAGAGTGGATGGAGGAAACTAGTTATGAGCCAGGAATAACTCATAACACTAGGGGTCTTTGGACAAGCTTCTCAGTGAATGAGACATTGAGCTTGCGAAACATCTCCAATTCAAGCTCTACAACATATGAATAAGTGTTGTGGCATCACTAGTGCCAGCACTTGACAACTTTCCTCTGGAGCCTAGGCTTAAGGCCTTGTATAAATGTTGATACTCTAATAGACTCCTCCTGTGTTGTTCTCTTGTCACAGTAGATCTTCCAAAAAGCCTTGAATTGCGTCATATAGTTGAAGGAGTTATTCACACCTTGTCAAAATTGGAACAATTCTTGGACAAGCTATTGTGCCTCTTGAGAGAACATGCTCCTGAACATTTTGAGGAGAGTCTCAAAGTCCCACTTTTCCTCAGCCTCTAGCACAAGTACCTATTGCCATGCATGCCCATGCATCAATTGAGTGAACACTTTGTGCTTAGTCATATCATCTATGATCTAGTTGCTAACACAGTAAGAAGAGAATGCTACAAGGTGATCCTCCACTGAAATGCTATCCTTGGCTTGAAGAATGGAAGCTCAAGGCCACACTACAACACATGCAGTGTTGGCATGGATAGCAGAGGTGGTGGAGGTTGCTGTACTATCTTTTGTTGATTTGCAGCTATTGGTTGGTCCTCAAGATCTCTAGGGACATCTATTGGCCTCTCTGGAAGTGGTGGATCTGCAACTTGAGGAAAAACTTTAAACAAGGATGCATTATGTGAATCTGCTATCTTGGTATTTGCAACAGATAGTGAATCCTCACTCTCTAATAAGGCTGTGTGATAATCCAGCTCTTGTTGAAGCTTGGAGAAGCTTTCCACAAACACAAAGAGCCAAGAAGGAACCAAGAGCTAACCTCTTTCCTATACTTCTTATTTGTGTAGGCATGAAATATGCAAGGTGCAACAAATGCTTGGTTGTAGGATAAGTCTAGAAGTAACCCCAAGTAGAAATAAATTGCTTTTGAGGGTAAAGTACTTGCCACATGCTCTAGGACACTTGAGAAAATGCCCAAAATGCAAATGGATGCAAATGAAACCCAAGACTATGTAGAAACTTTTTCTAAAAGTAACATTTACGAAAAACTCAAAGAAATTCACTCAATTCTTTCAATCATGGCAAATATTTACCTCAAGAGAAAAACATAGTAAGTCTCAAATTATAGAGCTCCTAAAATTATGCTCTTGGGCTTCGAAGAAAGCTCTTGACCTCCATTATAGCTCCATGTAGGAAAAAATTAAAAAATTCTTTCCAAGAAACAATGAGTAGTTCAAAAACTTTTCCCCATGTTCGAAATAAACAAGTGTGAGGGAAAAGTTACTCCAAATCACTTCAAACTGACTCAAATCTCACATGCAAACCCTTCAAAGAAAGCATCTATCAAAAGAGCCCAAAAAAAATTGAAATGATGGTATATCCAATTTATGCCAAGCTTCCAAAGTTGTTATTATATACACTGTGAAGAAATGGAAGTTGTAGTATGTGTTGATTATTGCACCAAATCCAGGAATTCTGATGTTAAATCACATATCTCAACAAGATCTACAAACCTATGATTGCCATTTCTCAAATTAATTTCCCAATCAGCCCTGACGAAAAGAAAATTGATTTATCTTTTCCAAAAAGAAAAAAAACTTAAGAAATCCTTAACATTTGAGCATGGTACTTACAATTTTGTAGTTGGGCACATACTTGCAGCAAGACTATAATAATCAACTGAATAATACTCAAGTAAAATTATATAGATCATAATTGATTTAGAAAATAAATCTATGTGGAGAGGAGGCCACTGCATCACTGCATTGATCTACTAACAATTGTTGGCCAATATTAATGCTCCTAACGATCCACAAAGCCAAAAAGAAGGAATTGGCTTCCTCCTCCACATTGCACCGAAACTTTGGAGATCCTTCAAGTGGATTGGGAGTCCTTTTGATACAAACCCCCACAAGCGTTTAGAACATTGGATTCCTGCGTCTTCATCCAGTTTGTTGTCATGGAAATCCTGGCCGGTTGCAATGCACGAGAATATTGTCAGGAGCCTCTCCAAAGAGATGCTTTGTCTGCCTGGACCTTTGAGTTGCCTCTCCATCTTGTTTCTTCCGTGGCTGAAAGAGAACTCCTGTAATGGAAACACGTAAGAGAAGACAAGAAAAATTGAGCTTCACCTTCTCCTTTGTTTCCTTGAGCCACTGCGTGGCGGGCATCAAAAATTGTAAATCGCTGGTGACCCTCCACCTGGTAACTCCAATAACTTTCCTGGTGCTCTCGGGAGCAATGCTTCCGAACAAGCAAGGGAAACAAAATTTCTTCACGCTTATCAAGCCACACGTTCGCAGCTTCTTGGGACGGGCTTGCAGCCTCACCTGGCGCGTAGTACTGCTCAAACAGAGGCTCTAGCAGCATCATGAGCTCGGTTATTCTCCGTGTTGCTCAACTAAACGGCTTCAACACGGCACTGGAGAAACTGGGAAGCCGGAACAAAACGGATAAAAGGTTTTGTCCACCACTCCAGTTCCTGATCAATGTTTTCAATGATGAGGTAGACAACCCCTGTTTCTCGTTTGAACCAGCTCAAGTTGCCAAACATAGTTCGCTATTGGACTTGCCGTTTAATGGAGACGAGCAGCTCTGTACCGCAAAAACGTCAAGAGAAATGAACAAATGAAAGATAAAAGAAACATGTGGTACTCTGGAAGACGAACAGCCTCCTCGCAAGCATCTGGAAGACATTCCACAAAATCCGAGGATCTCTCACACTTGCGCGCGCTGGAGTAGCCATTTCGGCGCTCCTCGAGCCTGTTGATGATCGATTCAAACAAAGTCCTGGCGGCATGGCACGATGCGTATGCGTATGGCCTGCAAATGCCGGAAGATCTCTTTCCTTACCCGGGAAAATCACGTACCAGGAGCGCAAGGATCTCTTGCCTCGATCCCGTCTTCCTAATGTCGGCAGCGCTCGCGCATTCCTAGAAGGACAAACCGTAGGCATTACTTTTACCAATAAATATTGGTCTAGGACAGGTTTGTGAGAAGATGCTAAACACTAGAGGAACCAGAGAGTAAAAGAGTAAAACTTTGCATTGCATCCATGCTTCATAATTCATATATATGGTATTTTATATTTTTATATATATATATATATATGGTAAATCTTGCATTATTTTTTAGTAGGTAAATCTCCAACATCCATTTGTTTGTGTTGCCCATACAGGTTCTTGTGGGTCACCGGTTCTGTATAAAACTACATTACAGTCATCTTGGAGTAATAGCTCTGAGTTTGCATAACAATTTGGAAGAGGTTCACAATAAGTAACTGTAGACCAAACTGATTTTATATGGAATGCACTGTAAATTACCATATTACCGTCTGGTTGCAATATCACCTCACAATCAAAGCTGATATCTACTATATTTGAACTCCACCCTATTGTCTTCTTGATAATTAAAACAAGATTACAGTTGTCTAGCATCACAAAGAAATACTGCTGCTTAGTGTTTGTTAATTTCCTGTTCTTGTCAAGCTTTGCAAAAACATCATATTTATTCCCTGGTAACAGAGTATACTGAAAAGGTGAAGAAATGTCTTGTTGTGAAATAGAAATTGCCGATAATTGTGGCTGCTGGGAAATTGGAATTCTTAAAACCCGGTATTGAAAAATAAACCTTCCATAAGGAGATGCAATTCCAAAAATTGAATACATAGAGCCTCTATTAATGAAATCATCTCGCATGTAATTAAAAGCATGCAAAATTGTCTCAAAAGCTCCGTTATTATAGATTTGTACAACACCAGGGGCAAGATTAAAAGAATTTATACCAGCATTATGAAGATAAAGAGTTACAATAATTCTTTTATTAGTATTAGGAACACGAATGATACTATCAAAACTTGTATATGGATTTGTCACACTATTAATTGGTAATATAGATCTTAAAAAAGTAGTTGTTAGTACTCTAAACAAGATTGTCATTTGAGATTGACTTAGAACTCTTCCATTCTCATAAAATGGACCATAGAGTAAATCAGCATCAGAGCTATTAATAAAAAATAAGAATATTAATAATAGCTTCATAATATATTAAAAAATAATGGTTTAAGTAATGTGAAGTATAAATTATTTAATATGACTTTTGGAATTTATTTTAATATAATGCCATAGTTAAGGGATTTAGTTTTAATAAATTAGCTTAGCTAAACTAAAAAATAAATTTTCATTTTAAATATTAATATTCGCAATTATTTAACTAAAAACTAAAAAATAATAACCTAAATTATTTTGAAAAGAAATATGGAAAAATTTTATATAAGCATTCCAGATGGTAAAATTTTGTAAATCTTGTTTAGATGACAAAATTTTAATCATCATCCAAAAAACTTTTAAACATATTTTGCTTAACATACGCCACTAATAAATATATTTTAAATAATTGAGGAAGAATATATTATTTAGGAATTTATTATTTTCCTAGAGAAGAAAATAATAAATATTTCATGATAGAAATCAAATAATATAAATTTATGACATAAAAAATCTTTAATTATTTATAATAATATTATTATTATTTTAATATTACAACAATATTTTAATTTTTGTAATGTATCATAGTGTGTAATACCTAATAGTTTAATACTTACAATACACAAGACACTTGTAATCCCTTTAACTATATCTTTTCATTTTGGCAGTTTAATAAAATATAAGAAAAACAACTATTGATATTAATATAATATAATATGTTTAGAAAAGTTATATATGTGAATTATATAAAATAATTAAATAGTAATTATTTTACCAAATATGAAAGTGTCATTGAAACAAAATACAAAGCTATTTTAATTAAATTTATATATAAGTTATTTATATGATTTATATTTCTTATTATTATTTATCGTTTTTTCTTCAATATAAGGAATACTAAAATAAAATTGGAATGCAAATGAATGATCTAAAAAGTATAAAAAATAAAACAAAAATATTTTATGCTAAAATTTGAATTTATTTTTTATAATAGATACCATTTCTAAGATGACCATGAAAGTATAAAAAATATAAATTTAAAATTTCTATATTAAAAAAATCTAATGTTTTAACTGTAAATGTTATATAAATTTAAAATAATTAAGAGTAAATTAATTTACAAGGATTTTTTATATTTATAATATTCTTACACAATTTGTAACAATGAATGTCATAACAAAAAATTTATTATGTTGCAAAATTTAATTATGAATTACAACACTATTTAAAAATAGTAGATAAAATTCAAAAAAATTCATAATTATTTATATTTTAATTTTTTGTTGAAAACTGCAATTCTATATGAAAAACTTAAATAGGATTATGTTCTATATGTTTTGTTTGCTTATAGAAGGTATATAAGACATATATTTAGAATACTCTAGTATATTCTAAAATATTTCTTAATAAAATGGTATTTGGACAATAGTTATAACTGAAGTAACAGTCTCAATCATGAGTGTGAACCTTTTCATATAAAACTAAAGCTGTAAGTCTTTAAACATTAAATAAAGTTTTATGACTATTTAATTGCTCTTGAGTGCATAGGAAGATCTTAAAGTAGCATCACGTTTAGAAACAATACTATATAGCATGAATTAGAGCTTTGATACTATTTACCTTGGAGCATAATTTATAGTTTTCACTGAATTCAACCAACGAAAGTAATAAATGTTTTTTCACTCCAGAGATTTATTTAAATCCAGAGAAATATAGAAATAAGGCAAATTTATAATGGAAATGAGTTTGTGATCTTATTGAAAAACACCTAATCTAAAGGAGAAAGTGCTCTACCATTTTAACATTTAAAATTTAACATGCTCATGCCAAAGTTCATTATTTTGCAAACTATAGATAATATGAATTTTGGTTACAAAAGAATAGATTGGAAAAAAGAAAAGTTTTTATAGCAATTCTTGATTAAAATTGTATTGTGAATACATAAAAATCCAAAACAATAGTGCAACAAATTATGTCATAATCAACTTAACAAAACTATATCTTACCACATTTGTATCCTTTTTTCGTGGGAGCTATCAACAATAATATATCTAACATATTTCAACTGGTTGTACCATTATCATATAAGTAATTTAAAACATATAATTTAAATTGCTAGTTTCGCTTGGTTTTGTTCCTTTAATCTGGTCATTAATTTCAGGAAAAAAGAAATTTATTTTGTGTTAAATTACTAAAACAACAGAACACCTACTAAAATCAATTGTGTGATTCTTCTAGTGGAGGACATAGATCAAGTCCCTATACACAAGCTGTATAGACGAGGTTGGATTGGTACTAACATAGGAAACCAAGGAACAATGTGTTCCAGGGGGACGGTAAAGGCCCAACGCCAAGGAGGCCTTGTCGTTGCGCAATAGTCCAGCGAACATCTCCCCAAAGCTCAAGCCAATGTAGCAGTCTGGTACTGGAATTAGCTCCAGCTTGCGTATCGAGTTTACTTCACCATCTTCATCGTCCCCAACTCGCCTCCCACAGGAGAGCTGCTCGATTATGGATAGAGTGTTCCTGTTAAAATACGTAGCATATCTGCGAGAGAAACTATTAGTAACAAAAGAAATAAAAAGAACTTACGTCAAGAATGTGAAGGCTGCGGGGCAAAGTCCTTTGCCTGCCGTAAAGGGAGGACAAAACTGGAGCTTTGCATCTGAGTTTCGCTGGAAATCCTTGTGATGGAACTGCATGGCGTCGATCTTATAATGCGGACGTAGAAACTGGAGCTGGTTTTCCTGCTGGAGCTCCACCAGGACTCGGTCCCTGGCCGGGGATACAAGCCTCTCCACATTTGCGGCGATCACGATGTTCTTCACGTCCAGAGTATTCACTGGCGATGAAACCGTGTCCTCCCGGGGCTTGGAGTCGTCGTCCTCGAATCTCTGCGTGAGTATCACCACCTTTTGGGCCTGTAAAACTCCGGCTCGCACCAAGTCGAGCTCGAACAAGGCCGAGCCCTTGACGAAGAAAACGTCGTCGAAGAGGCCGACGCATCCCCAGTCTGGAGCGCTGGGCGTATTTGGATGCAAGATCACCACAGGAACCACTGGAGCTGTTGTTCGCAAGTTGCTCACGAAGTAGAAGAGATTGAGAGGCCACTTGCCTTCGATGCACACCAGGATGTGCGGTCGAGGCAGTAGAACCACTCGCATCGTTCGCTGTTCGAGGTTTGCTTGTATTGCGTCTGCTCTTCTTTCCAGGACTGGCGAAACCGGTTTGTAGCGCTTGCGGAGAGGAGGCCACTGCATCGCTGCGTCGATCGCCTCCTCGAGAGACGACACGAAGTCCACCTCTGATGACTGATTTTGCTGTTGTTCGTCGATCGAAGGTTTGTAGAAATGGCGAAACTGGGCTTGGAGATCCGTCTGTTGCCTGTTGATACTGGATGAGTCGGTGTTTTCTCCGATCCCCGTTTCCATGTCGTGCTGCTGGGACTTTTTTATGCTTTTCAAGGCCACTTTGACACCAGTGGCTGCTCGTTTAATCGATCGTTTGGATTTAGAGTGCTTTGAAACAGCTTCTGCTGTTTCCAAGTCTTTGGCGATGACGAGGCCAATGTCGCTTGGAGTGACGAGACGGCCTCGTGGATAGAGTTTCACAGCACGAGTTTTGTTCAGTAACACCACATCCAAACCGATAAGAATTACGTTGTAGCTCATATATACAATCTCCACAACCTGTAAAAAGAAAGCAGGTTTGGGAATAAAAAAAACTACTGAATGGAAAAGAAAGAACCAACCTCTTCATACTTCAAACTCTCCTCGTGAAAGTAAGACGGCAAGATAACTGGAAATATTTCCTGGCGAAGGCCGTCATTGTACTCGCTCATCCAGTGGCATGGATTTGCATGCCTTAGGAGTGATCCTGATCGAAAGAGGTTGATCACCAACGTAGAAAATCCGGGAACATGGCAGCTGGATATTAAAAACAGTTTATCAAGAAAGAGTAACCAAAAAATCCTAGTACCTGCGAGCCAAGAGCTGAAAGCGCACTGCCTCGGGAGAAATGATCTCGATTCCACTCTCAGTTTCGTCCCAGATGGCATTGTTGGAATTCTCGGGTTTCAGTAGCTCCACAATCACTCGAACATTGGGTCCACAGTAACGATGCACGGAAAGAGTTCGTGTTATCTGAGCAGAGTCTTCAGCATCAAAGTCCTGCAGACGCAAAGGTGACATGACGATAATGAAACAATACAACAGAAGCTTACCTTTGCATGCTCATCCGCAAGTAAAAACACGGCTGTGGCGAACGAAGCACACACTCGATCTAAATCTGACTCTTTCATCGGTGTTCCTTCGATAAATTCAACCCGTCCTTCGTAACGGTTAAGCAGTGTCTTCATATCGTACCTGGAGAAAATGACAATTCATAAAAGCTCGGAAAGAATGCGAGTTTTGCATACGAGGGTTTAAATGGAGCCATGACAACTACACGGACAGGAAATGCTGCCATATCTGCACTGCACACGCAAGAAGAGAATTAGAGGTGAATCACATAACTCGAATGTAACTTTTGTCATGGCTGGGATGGTAGAATCCAGATAGAAAATGTCGAACGGTCTGAAAAGAAATCTTCCCACTTATGACTATGAAGTTACAACCGATAGCCTTTTGCACAGCAATCCTTCCACCATAGGGCCTGTACATAATGGAAAACCAATGCTTTTGAAGAAAAATGGCCAAGCTCTACCTTCGTGATGCAAGCTGCAAAATTTTGCTAAACTGCGCGGGAAGAATAAGCGCGGCTATAAGCATAACAGCAAGTGTTACAAGCCGACCGAGATCGGATTTTGGTGTAAAGTCTCCATAGCCAACAGTAGTGATCTGATGAAAAAAAAAAAAAGTTTTCACTTGCCACAACGAAAGCATGTGTTGATAATAATTACTGTAACGACGATGAAGTAAAAAGCGTCGTAAAATGTAAAGCAGCCTTCGGGGTCACAGCCTTCCTCTGCCTTGGTTGCAGCGGAGGTGGCTTTATACTCAACCCATTGAAGTATTCCAGCAGCGATAAAAACTGCAATAGATTTGTTACTACATAAGAGTCGTGATTTGATAATTTGACGAGCTCATATACCGGCGCCAAGTGTATAGATCGTTAGAAGAAAAATCTGTTGTCCAACTGTACCGCCAACAATCCCAAAAGCAGCAAAGGCAGGCAAAATTCTAAAAGAAAAAAGAAAAAAAAGGGAACAAGATAACAATCTAGAAAGAAGGTATTAAACGAATACCTTAAGGCTCGAAGAACCAGTAGCATCTGAGGAATGGCACCCTCATTTCGAAACTTGCTATATAGTTTGTTAGATGACTCAAATCCTAAGATAGTTTCATGTACCTCCACAAGGAAAGTATTGGTAATGTACTCAAGAGATCAACCACTCCAGTTACTGAGGTTATGTAATAGAAACGGACAGGAGCACTGCAGACAAACAATGACGCAATGCAGCCAAAACGCAAGTGAATAAAACTTACATGTAGACCTTTAAGAGATAATCAGCCACGAAAAAGAGAGCTACGATTTTTCTCACTGTTAGAGCCCAGAGCTGCGTTGTCTGTGCATAGCTGAAACGACCAGAATGTTTCAGTCAGATTAAGTAAGTAACAAGCTTACGTTGATCTTAAGTACGCCACAATCGACAGCATAGCCGCGAGAAACTCTAGCTGCAAATACCAGAAATATAGTATGAACCGCAGGCTACTAAAATTTGGAACTTACACACAGTAAAATATGTCCCAGAGAACCACTGCGAATGGCTGTTCTCACTTTAATCGTCAGTGGAACCGCTCCATAGAGGTATAAGTTGTGGTATCTGGCAAGAACATCCTGTCCAGTTTAAAGACGCTCTAAACGCTTCGAAAAGAAAGGTAAAGAAAACCAAATTCCCATACCTCAGTAGCATCAACTGTCTTCCCCTCGCCTCGATCCTTGAACCACAGCAAAGAGCGAACGAAGAAATACTTGGCGGAACCCCTGAATTTCCCAAGAGAATAGTCAAGCTGTTCTTCGCTCTCCCGTGGCCGAGACCCTGGCTCCAGATTACTGCCCAGCTCGTCATCGTCTAGAATTGGAGTGCACTGCCCCGTTGGAGCGATGGACAGCGTCCGAGATCGAGTAACAGCTTTCTTTCCGGAATAAGGGGCATTCCTCTCGAGTGCTGGAACTGTTACTTCAGTGTGATCACCGCGCCTAGAAGTTTCGTGCTCGATATCTCTGTGACAAAGGAAAAAAAAAGGAGAGCATCAAAGGAGAAATCTCAACACCACCAAAACTCTAGGCTAGAAAGGAATTGGAAACTCACGAGCGAGAATTTCTTCGCACAGTTGCCATAGCTTGCGGATTGATGTTGTGGCAATCTGCTGCTTGCCACGAATCTCTATCACAATCTACAAACACATCAAAAAGCTAACGCTCCGATCAGCGCAAGCTTAAAAATAAAGAGGAGAAAGCTTAACTTGCGGAACCATGCTGCCAGCTCGTGGCGAGGCAGCGACATTATCCCATGATTTTTGTTCCACCACTACGTGTGCAGGACACATCGATGGCTTCCAAGGTGACACCGCGACACACATTGCGCTGTGTTGTCTTGTCCCACATAAAAGATATTTGACCTTCCATAAAAATCGAGAACCTGGATCGAAGCATCACGGTCAGAAAAGCTATCCAAAGACGCCCAAATTCTCACCATCCAAGGCTCCAGTCGATGAAGAATCTCGAGAAAATCTATGGATCGAAGCATCACGATCAGAAAAGACGCCGCAATCTCAAAGGCTCCAGTGGAAAATCAAAAGCATAGCGATCAAAGGAAATCCAGGAGAAGGGGGAAAAGTCTTTTTACCATCTCCATTGGGCTCTGCCATTGCCTGTGGGCTTCGCCATTGCTGGATTACGTCAGACGTGTATAGTCGACGTGGCTATTTGAAAAGTGCTGAGACACTAAAATCTAGCCTCTTTCTTGATCATGTAAGTCCTGAGAAAGCGATGTCTTGCCGCCCAGAAATGTGTGCCGGGCCTTGATCCCGGCTTCGAGACGCCGATAATTCGGATTTTGACGTTTGCCGGATCAATGGAGGGATCACAAACATCCGTGAGTTGGAGAATGGAGTTCCATCTCTTTTTCTCTGATGCAGCGAGCATTTTCTTTCGTTTGCAGTGGCTAAAGTTTCCAGCAAGAAGAAGGATCACTCTGTGGTTGTCCTCGAGTTTGGTCCTGCCACCGAGGGTGTGATCGATCGGGAGTAATTCTATGATCTAAACTTCTTTTCTTCGCAGGCAACCTGTTATCTATTACGAGCAGCGTTTTGTCCGGAGCTCAAAGGCGTCTTTAAAAACGGGATCATTCAAACGTTTGTCACGGCAAGGACGCTCACACCTGAAGGTTTCTTTCTTTGTAGAGCTTCTCTTTATTCTTATGTTTCTTCCATTTGAATTCATTTGAATTAGTTTGCCTAAGTTGGCAGATTTTCTGGACGATTTAGTCTTAGCAAAAGTTGCAAAACAACTTCGACGCCTTCATCAGCAAGAAGTTCCTGGCGACAAGGAGCCCATGGTCTGGACCGACATTAACAGATACATTGAGCTCGGTATGGCAGCTTCTTGGGTTTCTTTTTCATGTTTTTTCTGGTTATTTGAGTAACAATGCTAGTGCTGCTGCTCCAGCGTCTGCTGTTACCAAGCTTGAGAATCCAGAAGAACAAAGGAAACTGGAGGCGGTGTCATTGACGAGCTAAGGCAAGACATCAATACATTGAAGGTTTGTGTCTCCCAAAGCGATAGTTAGTCAAGCCTACATTGGTTGATCTTTGCAGGAAATCGGCGGCCCTGTCATCTACGCACACAACGATATGCTTCCCGGCAATGTCATGGTTGATGCACAAGGTCTGGTTTATAGATCAATTTGTTTGAAGTGGAAGTCTTCAACACTGTTATATAGGGAAGCACTATTTTATCGACTTCGAGTACAGCAGATTTAACTATTGTGGAACGAAGATTCGATTGCAACCTTGCAGTGTAATCCACAGCCATTTTCGATCTAATTTTCGTTCTTATCCAAACAATGCCCTTGTGTCTTCTGGAGGCACTACTTGGGACCAAATAATCCTGAGAAGGTATCTTCTTATGATCCCGTCAATGAAGAAACACTTGTGAACTCACAGGCGAACGACTGCGAATGGCGTGACTCGCGGTCTTGCTCTTATCCAGGCCAGCCACTGCGAATTCGTGGCGGTCTGGACTCTGTCGTGGATCTCTTGGATTGCTTGGAGTTCTTCTTGGGGAAATATCCGTTTGTAAACTAGTAATATATCAGAATTTATATTCAAATACATGTTTGCTTCTATGTGAGAAAGAAGAATAATTTATATTTATTAATTCTTAAAATCATCTGTACCTGATTCTTACTAAATAATTAATTTCTTGAAACTAGATATACACTATATCTCATTTTTAAGTCCATAAGTTTTAGCTACAAAGCTTCTAAAAGAAGAAAAAGAGTGATCCACATTAGATTACAAAATAAAAGATAATAAAAACATATTTCCCGAGCTGTCTTATTTGCTAAGCATAATGTTAAGCTCCTACTCTTGAATGAGTCATCTCTTGCTGGAACTCTCCTACAGGAAAGTCATTGAAGGATCTCAACTGTGATCCATTCCTTGGGCCTCCCAACCAAGAGCTTCATGCACTCATACAATGCCTTGAGCAGCTGAAAAATAAATACTTAAGGTTCATCACAAAGCAATCTCAGTGTAACAATCCAGCTCCTGGTCCACTACTTCTGGGTAGCTGGACTCACACACCCAAGAGGATTGTCATAATGGTTAATTGTTGGAGTGGAGGTATGACAAGGGTGTGGTTTTTGCGGTGGAAGAAGTGGCAGAGAAAGTCTGGGAAAGTGCTGGGTTTGGAGTGTTCGGGAAGGATCCATCCTACACAAATCTCCTAGAAGGTATCAAGTCAACTCATGAGATCTAATACCTTGGATTGTCTTGGATGAACACATAGTAATGAGTGTTGGGAATACATAGTGATTGTGATTGGTAAAAACCTGCATCTACTACATCTGGATGGGCTCCATCAAGATTTTACGCCTGTGGAGAGAGTTGAGGAGAGTAAGATAGACATTTAAACACACGGTATGTAAGCTTTGATTATAAATGGAATATTCTAAAATATATTGGGATATTTTGAGTATATGCTTTACAAGTTTTTCTAGATCATGAACCATATAAGAAGGTTAGGCTTTCATGGAGAGTAGTGGCAGCTTTCTATCCGTTTTTTTGGATAATAAGCAAATGAATAAATTTTTTTAAAAACTTCATTCTATTTTTGAGAAATAAGCTATTTAAAAAATTAAAAATATAAACTTATACAAATTTTTATTATGGTTTTTAACATATTTTGAAAATATATGAAACTATATAAGTATAATTATAATGGGTATTGATATAATTAAAGTATATTTAACTATATATAAATTGGTGTGGATATAATTAATTTAAATTTTATAAATAAATGTATTTTTTTCAGATTGAGGAAAACCATATTATCCATTAATTTTTTAATTAAATATAGTCTATTTATTTAGAGATGTGGCAAAATCATAACCATTAGTAAGAGTATACTTAAGAATCAATCATAGGTACACACCCTTCAATTATACTTAATTTTATTCCCAAATGGCATCTCAACCACACTAAAAACCATTTGTGCTAGCTTGTGAACTATACTAGTTCCCATGCTTGTCTTCTTGCTTACATTTAGTCAATTTTTATTATCAAAAGGAGATTAGTTAAAATACCAGTAATTTTCATAACGAAAATAACATTTTACACTCTCAGATTGTTGGTAGCACATAGTTGCACCCATTGATAAAGGAGTTAAATTATCAAATTGTGATTTTATACTGTCAAGACAAGGTAAGCAAGGAGCTCTTGTAGGTCCTGTTTCACAGTAAGAATCCCCATAAACTCGCTCTATCATGGGTCTTGATTTTTCATATTCTGATGTTGGATGGTCAAATGAAGAATGTAAGAGTTTCAACTCATTAAAAACCTTTCCAAGATTCTTTTCAAAGTTACTACCAGATTTATATTTTAAAGGATTGTACCTAATATGATTCATAGGAAGATCTTTGCAAAAGTCATTTAATGTGAGTCCTGATACAAAACCTAAAAGAAATTTCAAAATGTAAAATATCAACAAAATCCCCATGGTTATTGGAGGAACATTTCAACACTCACCTTAAATACATCTATATAATATTGTAAAATTCATCCTATAGTAAAACCAAAAAAATAATAAGACAGTCAATGCAGTAAATTTGTCAAATATAAATAAGAATATTCAAATTTTTAGAAAAATATATTCAAAGTTTTACATTTAAAGTTTTAGAAAATATATACTACATAACACAAAAGACAAAATCTTTTTCTTTTCATTACCTCCTCCCTAGATCCCTTCCCTCTTCTTTTATCCTAAAAGCTATGGGTTCAAAATTTCCTCCTGCTTGATCTATAGATCATTATCAAAATTGTGCCAATTGTGTTATCTTGAGCATAATGTTTATCTTTTGCTTGTTTATAATTAAAATTTGTGGAAACATCCATGGCATCCATTGCAGTGGTTTAATGAAGCAAGCTTGGATTGGCATCCCTAGTGTGTTGGAAGTTCAGAAGTTTAGACTGGAACTTGCTCTTGAACACTTCTATGGTTTTTTCATAAAAAAACAAATGATGTGGTTTTTTAGAATTTAACAATATGAAAATACTAGGTGATAAGAAAAATATATAGGAAAACATTACATCATCTAATTTGGTATATAATTTTACTGTATAAGGTTCCAAATAATTTTGTAATGGTTTTTACTTTCAATGTTGCTAATATCCTCTCTAGAGCATAATTGAAGACTGGATTCTCTCTTCTATTGTCCACCTAAAATGATTCCAAACATAAGAAAGAAATGATTTTTCTTCCTTTCTTTGTTGCTTCTTTCCTCAAAAAGCTCTTACACTATCACTAAAGCCTGGGAGGAAAGAAATTAAAAAACATAATATAAATCTACAAGATCACTATAGAAATCCTTAGGATGTTAATATAATATTGATTTGGGAAAGTACAATCTTAACAACAACCACATTAGGTAAAAAGAAAACTTTATCTTTGAGCAATATTGGTAGTTGCAATTAAAGACTTAATAAAAAGTACATGGTAGTGCTACAACCATAGTAGCCAAGAGTCTAGTGTTCACAGCCAATGGTAATGGTCAGTTAGTTATAGTAACCATAACTATAGTAGTCATATGTTGTAAATGTGATTATGGGTATTAAAAGTTATTTATTAGCTAGTCCTTTTGGATATTCTTTCCTTATTATCACAATGGCAAAAAGTCAATATTGCTAGACCCTTTTTCAATCTCCACTCAAGCTAGTTGAGAAACTAATCATTATATATATACTCATGCCGAATAAACATAAAGTAGGAACTCCTATGTATTTTTTGTTGAGCATACTCAACCCGATATGAGAAACTCATATGTTGATTTGAACTTGCTAGTGTTGGGTGTAAGGAACCAACTCCCCGAGATGTCAAAGGCTAAAAGATCCCCGAAAGCATAACCAAAATAATAAAAAGTTCATTGGATGAGACTGAGTCCAAGACCGAGTTTGAGACCGAGTCCGAGATCGAGTATGAGATTGAGTCCGAGACCGACTCCGAGTCCGAGTTCGAGATCGAGTATGAGATCCAAGATCAGGTCCGAGATCGAGTTTGAGACCGAGTCCGAGATCAGGTCCAAGATCGAGTCCGAGACTGAGTCCAAGACCGAGTTCAAATACTAATACAAGTTGTAGCTTCCAAACTGACTTGAGGTTGAGA